TACCATCAGATAGTAAAATAGTTGATTTATTACCCAACCCCGTTAAAAGTCTTAAATAAGTGTATGACAGCAAATAATTCATTCTAAATCAAAGCACTTAAAACTATTTGTATATCGACTAAAGAAACCTCGCTTTACGGCACTGTTTACATTCTCAATGGCTACATGCGTACACACACGTATCAACTTGAAGCGTGAAAAATTGTTTCAAAACTACTAATACTTTGCAAGAACGATCTCATTAATAACGGGTCAGACAAATCTTCTTCATTTCAACTAACACAAGATTTAGTTTCAATAGTAGTCTGAAGATTCGAGAGCTCATCAGTATTTACTCGTCAACTTTAGACGAGTTTCCTAGTCCTTATAATACAGATTAGATGGAGTTAGCGAAGTGCTTATTTCGTACTTGCTTACACTTGCGTTTAGTATAGCTTAGCATTGTAGAATATTGAAGTAGTTACCGCCAACATAATCTGCTAAATTATCTGTGCTATGGTAACCAAATGATGGTGATCACATCACATCATCAACTTTGCTGAGCATTGGCCTTTTTTCACACGGAGAAGATTTGAATATTCATCACCATGCTCTTTCAAGGCGGTTCATTGGCGATTTCAAACTTATGATTAGAAATTATAAGTCCAGGTTTCCACACGATTTTATGTCTTCACCGTTTGTACATACATAAAAACTCGGAAAACGTCACATTGGTAAGCACTTGTCAGATTTTGAACCCGAACCCTCATGCCTCACTACAATATAATGAATGGCAGATAGAGAAAATCAATATATTTGCACGTCTGATAATTTTTTAAGATTTATTTCAGTAGCAACCTTACACCTCCATTGAGCAAAGATTTTATTATAATTACATTGAGTATTTCTTCTCGCTTAAATTAAATTAAATACTTTCACTTGTTTTTCAACGCGTTCCGAAAAAATATAAGAATTTTCTATTCTAAGCGTATTAACGAGTAGAAAACAAGGTACACTTCGGGGAAACACAATCCAAAATCAATGGTTGCCATCAAAAGTAGCCATCGTGCGTATCGTTTACAACACGATAGTTTGACAAACTGCCGTAAAAGAGCATTCGTTTCGTAAGCCCGAGTTCCTTCGAAGTTTGAATTTGTTTTCAAGTAAGTTGACTTTGATCGTCAGGATTACGAAAGTGCGATATACAAAGACCAAGTTTCTCCGTTCTTTGTGGTTGAATGAGATAAGAAAAACTGCTACTACGAAGTATGATACCTTCTTCGGTTAGCTGTTTATCAAGTTTTAAATTATGAAATACTTTACGCATCCACGAGATTGCGATGTCTTACCTATAGACAAAGTTACGTGTAAAGTTTCAAGTTGTTTTTCCAAGAAGCAATGGATTTAGTTGTTGATTTTATGTTGGATTGCGCAATCGATCCTGCATTTGCGTAGATTGGTTCATACAAGTTGATTACTAAATTCTTGTTTGTTAAATAAAAAACAGAATTCTGTAAATATCTTATACATGTAAAATTTTATGAGAATGTATGTATGTTTGTTAATCTTTCACACAAAAACGGCTGGATCGATTTGGTTGAAATATAAGTATCTACCTACATAATATCCTGGATTACCACAAAGGCTGCTTTTATTAACAAACCACGCAGACGAAGCCGCGATCGTAAATTATAAGGATTAACTTAAAGAAAGAAAAAATAATTCATAAAGATCTCCAGAAAAACCTCTTCAATTAAATCGTGATGCACAATTAATAAATGAACATAAATATATTACGTTTTTAATATGAACGACTTAATATAAAATTTATTGCATTTCTGATATTAGGTATAATGAAACAAATATTTTGCTTCCACACAGCCTTAATAGTCACGATAAAATGTAATTTAAAAACAGATTAATTAACAGAAAAGCTGAAAAGGAAACTGTTTTATGGTGAATTAATTTCATGTTGGGAAATATGATTCACGTGAAATTTAATTTATTGTGTAATTATTTTTCTGTATTTATTTCAATCTTCGTTACGTATGTGTAATTTTAAATTGTGTTTATAAATGTTTCCAAAGTTTGTGAATATATATGCATAGGTATATAGTTTAAGTAATTAGTTTGTGAATGTTTAAAATATATGGGTATATATATATAATTTATATATGTTGTTACTGTTTTATTTGAATAGTAACTATTATGAGACATACTTAATTTGCTAAAAATAACGATTTACGCGAATTAACTGAAAAAAGCTAACGATGCTAAGCGACGCGCACGCTGCTCATGTTTTAAGTCCCGTTGTGTTCTGAAACTAGTAGAGCTTTTCTCAATTCATTTAGGTCTGTGATTAAAACGTATACAAATAAATCTTGTTTGTAACGAAAACGGTCCGCTCGAAAACTACTGAATAGATTTCGATGATATTTACCATTAAGATGGACAACAGCTAGAAGGACGACTACAACTTAATTTTTTTTTATTATTTCATACATATTTTATTAATGCAATTTCAATTATATGGAAATTAAATATCGAAACGGATAGTTGAAGACATCAAACAAGACAGAGAGGTTTAATTTAAAACTAACAAAGGCATTGATTAAACAATATGAAAAACTACACATCCTTGCACAACTGGCGAATCAAACAGACTCATATAGAAATATCAAAATTAACATATACTTAACATTATGGCCAATACAAAACAAACATATTTCTCAATTACATTCAGTATATCTGTGCCAAGTGCCAAGATCATGAACGTCCCCTTCAATAGCTTTCTATGTCTACAAACATATTTATCCTCAACTTTTATATAAACGACCAATATTTTTTTGTTATTTGCTCAATATATCGCCAAATGTTCGTAGGTGGTCGGGTCGACACAGTTCAAGTTACGTTGGTCGTTTGATTAATGTTTCCGGCTTTGACACCTGGGATGCCACTTAAGGAAACTATAGCTACCATTTAAGGTGAAGACATCCGCAAACTATCTTAGCCTATTATGAAACAATTAATTATTTAGTGACTGCAGTATTATCACTTAGAATTAAGATATTCATTCGAGATAGCTATTAATTATGTTGTCTTGAATGAAGGTTGGTGATATGAAACGCTTAACGTTTTAATTAATAATATTTTTTTCATTTTATATAATGCAGCCTGTGTTATTTATAGTTTGACATGAATTTAAATATCTAGATGATAAAGATGCGACTCTAACCTTCATGAGAGAATGCGAGAGAAATAATTGGGCGGCGCTAGTTAGTTGCTTACCATCAGGTCTACCACTCTATGTCATAAATAATTAAAAAAAATATCAGTCTTATTCTCAATAATTGTGACTGTTAGATTATTTAGCAAGGTAGTGTAGCAAAGTTATATTTTAAACGAGAAATATTGTTCTTAGAACATATTGTTAGATTGAATAACTAGACTTAACTATTCATAATCATTGTTATCATGATTAGCTTGTGGCATTCTGTTCCTAGATTACTGAATATGGGTTCTACATGATATTTTTAATGTCATGCGCTAATTTCCACGCATATCATTTCTGGAAACATAAACAACATTATTACAAAATTCAGTTTTATCAGTTATCGCAGTAAGCTCCTATTATAAGTTCTTAATAAACTTACAGTTCGGCCGACGTATCTTGGCGAGTCTGAAGTTAGCCGTTTGTATGCGCAATGGATCTTTTAGGAACAAAATTGTGTACCTACTGCGCAGCTAATCGGCTAACTTCAGACTCGCCAAGATACGTTGGCGGTATTGTACGTGTCACATAGTGCATATAAATTACGTTCTATATTCAAATTTATCTGATACTAGCTACTCTCGCGCGGTTTCACCCATTGCTCGGTTCAATTAGATCGTATACCTAGGCTTCCTGAAAAAATGGAGTAACGAACACAAAAACAATTGTTCAATACGAACCAGTAATTCCGGAGTTTAACGCGTTTATACAAACAAACTCTACAGTTTTATAATAATAGTAGGTATAGATGTATGCAGTAGTTATCTTATCCTTAAGTCAATTTATCACATAAGTAACTGAATTCTTATTTTTTCTGCTATATTCTCGCAGGTGGCCCTGTAGGAGGGCACATATTTTCATAACCGGATTAACTAGTGATGCCCTAAATATGTAAACGCGTTATTTATTCTTCAAGGCCTCTAACCAAAGCAGCTATTTATAGCCGCCATGATACATATTATTATGGTTATGATACAACTGACTGAATTGACTGGTAGAGAATACCCACGGCATGGGGTCTACATGTGTGCATGAAGCATTAAAAAATGAGTAATTTGTAAGCTGTTTTTATATGATAGGACGGTAAATGAGCAGATCGATTACCTGATGATAAGCAATCGGTGCCACTTATGGACATTCGTAATACTAGAAAAGTTACGAGTCCGTTGCCGGCTTTTTAGGATTAGGTTTTTAGAGATTTTGGGATTGTGAAGCGATAGGGGAAAGGAAGGAATTGGCCTTTGGCCTTCGGTAGATTTATTCATACGACAAAAGACAACTTTGAAGTTTTATCACGCTAGTTTTTTTAGAGGCCATGGTATCACTCTGGTCGAGCCGATCCAATCGAGACGAAGCTTGGCTCTCATACACCTGCTTAACAGTACCTAGAGCTTTGTCAATGCAATTTTTTAGTTTCTACTAGTATATTAAATCAAGTTTCATAGTAAGAATATGAATTAATTACATAAAACACACTTAATTATTATACTTTTATTAAATTATACCTAATCAATTCCGATGAGTTTTATATTCATCATCATCATCATCATCAGCCTATAAGTGCCCACTGCTGAGCAAAGGCCTCTTCTCATACGGAGAAGGTTTGAGCATTAATCACCACGCTTGCTCATTGCGGGTTGGCGATTTCAAACTTATAATTAGAAATTATAAGTCCAGGTTTCCTCACGATGTTTACCTTCACCATATGTCATGAGTTTTATATTAAAAAGTTTATTTCTTTTTGTTTCAGATCTTGCATCGTGAATAAGGTGAATAAGCGTCTGGTACAATATATTAATTTTTATTCTATACTATCAGGCCTCGTTTACACATATGCCCGTTTATCGTACATTGCAGCAGAAGACCGCGTCCTCGTCCGTACAAAAACCGATATTATGAACATTATGAGCAATGTATGACAAACTGCTCTATATGCCACGCAACTCGTAAACGAAGCCTTAAATCTAAAATCAGTGTGAACACGTACTTAGGTCTAGACATACGTTGTGGTTTTTGTGTTAAAATTAAAGAAATCAGCTCAAATACATTACTTTGTACAACTTCATTATATCGGCTTTTATAATTAAAAAAATATATTAGATGCTAAATCGTCAACATAACCTAAAATAACACACTATCTTGCCAAATAAACTATGAACCGATTGATAAAACAAAAAAGCGAGGGAACATTAATTCCATAAGCAATAGTTGTCGGATGGCGACCGATATTAGTTGAAACTAATAGTGTTTTATTAGGAGGAATGCCCCAGGGGATGCCGGGACCAACATCTGTTATGCGATCGTTATAAGCCGACTATCCCTCGTTTATCTGTTTGTTTGTTGTAACACTGTAATTAGTGGGATAACGTTTCAATTTATTGATTTATTTCTTTTTGTTTTTAAGCATACATAGTTTGCTGTGGAAAAGAAAAAGATCTTTATTTAGCGCGCTTTTTTTACATCATTTTGTTTGATTTTGTGCTAAACGGACTGCTAAATCATTCTTCTTTAAGTATTTCATTAAATTTATTTTAAATTTAAATAAAAATTTATATAAAGATATTATCGTTTGATCCTTATTTCATCCAGTAACAAAATTTTCCTCTTCAACCCCAAGTTAAACGCAATAACTATAATAAACAAAGCGGCCAAAATTTCTCCTAACAAACCACGAAGTTTCTGCAACGCAATGAAATTTCACAACAAATAATTTATAAGCAAATAGGTACAGTTATGTTGTGGAACTATTCGCACACGTATCGAGGGTATAACACGAGCCAATATTGTTCAACGACGGCTGTACACGAGTAATTAGCTATATAGCTGTGGAGAACCCGCACGTTTCTGAATTACTACGTAACTTGCAACTGCGATTTGAGTCCATTGTTGTTTTCGTAGGATTCGTCTTTTGAAGGCGCCTTCTTTTTCTTTTGGATGAGGTATGCCTTGAGGTTTATTAATGCTATGAAAACTGTGCGTTTTTCTAGACACATTATCATCATGTCAACCGTGGTTTATAGTATAGATAATCACGAGTAAGTTATTCGAACAAATTTGATCAAGACTACAGATATTTTTGAATACTCAAAAATGATAAAATTAAAACGCAGTATATTCTGAACTAGCTCCTCTGGCGCGGTTTCACCCGCTGCTCGGCTCCGACAGACTTTTTCAATTCAAAGTCTAACTAGTAGTTCCTAAGATTAGCGCGTTCAAACAAACAAACTCTTCAGCTTTATAATATTATATTAGTATGTATAGATTTGTCCTGTTTTACATCACGTTGAAACTGTAAGTAACTTAATGATGACATTATTTATAAGAAGATCAACATAAAAGTTTTCATAATATATACGTGCAGTTACAAAGAAGCATCTAAATATAACCCGTATGTTTTGGCAATAGCATCTACAATGGCGATCAAGCGTTTGAGTGTATACGTAATAGTACGACGGCCACTCAATTTGTGGCTATACAAAGATAACTACAGCGAAATAGGTTACTAGGTGAATCTCGTCTCTTTGTTTCAGTACATATACAGGCTTCATCAGACCATACATTACCAATACACGCTGGCCTATAACACTGTAGCCAAGATAAATAGTGTAGAGATCATTTTATACTGGATATTGAGGTAACTGTTGACGTTATTGTGCAGGTGCCAATATCCGTATGTGATCTAAGGCGGGATAGGATTAACTGGAGTATGAGAAATGCAAAATACACGTCGGCTAACAGACGACGAATGGATGCGTTAAACTGCACTGTTGAGAATTGCGTCAATAGCTTGCCTGTGGATTGTTAATCATTGGAGCAACATAGTTTATCTAGGATAGATAAACATTTAACATACAATAACATTACAACATACACTTACCTATTATTCATGTCTTTATTTAAAACAGATGACAATAGTGACCGAAAACTATGTTGAATAAAAACCTAAGGACTGATTTTTCAATAGTCAGTCACATAAATGTTATCTGAGGAATAAAATTGTTTTTGTCACTGTCTTATACAAACATTCTGACGCGACAGCATAATCATAACTATTCCCCAGATAACTTTTATGTAACCATTGAAAAATCAGCCCTAAAACAATACTACTATATTACACAATCAAATTTCAAATCAATAGCAGCAAATAGTCATGGCGTCAAACAAGATAGAATCTAAAACTAATATCAAAATGTCAATATTCACAATAATAAAGACATAACTTCGATCATAAATATCATTAAAATTCAAAGTATTATAAACTCATTACGTTCGACGGAGGCGACCGTAAATTACACACAATTATGACTTCTATTTCATTGGCTGACTTAAATGATATGGTGCGCGATTTCGAACCGACAGAACTACACGATGTTGGCTATTACAAGATTCCTGTTACTATGAATAAATTGTGGTTGAATGCAATTACCCTTTGTAAGTTCATTGCTAACGAAATAATTTGAATGTTTCTTTTAGTTGGTAATATGAATAAAGTATTGATAATAAGTAATGTCTTTATTTATTTATTTATTTAAACTTTAATGTACACAAAACAAGTGATGGTACATAAGGCGGACATTAATGCCATATGGCATTCTCTCCCAGTCAACCTTAGGGTTAAATAGGAAATCGGCGAAAAAATAGGCATGTGTAATTATTTTATGGAATAAATAACATACATAGACTTTACAAACATGGATACTCAAAATATTTACTACTAAATACTACCTAAATATATGTTAATATAAATAATATATACTACATAAATAATTTCTGCAACAATACATATACAATAAACATACTAATATATAATAGATAAAGACCGAGACTCAGCGTTGTAGTGACTTTAAGTAGAATTCATAAACATAGCGTTAGAAAGTGATTTAAATTATTTATAAGTCCAAAAATGTAATAATTGGAATTGAGATCAAGATTTTAGGAAAAACACGATAAAGCAAACTGCACTAAATTGATTTACACATTAAGTCAGAATAATTTTAACTCGTACATATAATTATTACTTATAATAAATGGTAAGTACTTCACCAAGTTTCTGAAAATAATAGCGCGTTTTGATATAGCTAAAATGTAAGTACTTAGCAGTGAGTCAGAAAATCATACGACAACTAGCGATCTAGGTATTGCAAAAGCATTAATAAATCAGATTTGCCTTGCCATTGCTTCGTCGCAAGAATTTCAACCTATCACATCAACCTTAAAGAAAATCGATCGTTTTTTCTACAAACTTCTAAATGGAAATATTGTGAGCTTTAACCCCGACTGTGTAAGTTAGCCTGTATATAGTACTCTCCGTTCTACCAAATCTCAAAGAAAAATGTTAAGTAAATAAAGTATAAAGAGCTACGTAATAAACAAACTTATATTCGTATTTATAAATATTATAGTTGGGATCTTTACGCTTTCATTGAATATTGTATGAGTAATGTATAGGCTTGTTTGTCATGAACAAACGATGAATGAATGGAATTATTGATTGGTAGGTACTTGTATTATAAACAGGGTCGCGTGAGCCACGGGTAGCGGATGCGTGGTCTATCGGATTTTCGAAGCTATTTACTATATGAGCAACAATTGTGTTTGATTTGAAGCTTCTATTATGTTTCATTGGCTTTCTATGCTTCATTGGAAAATGATATGAGGAAGCCCTAACACAATAATGGACGCGTTCTTTGTTATTGATGTTTGCGACACTTTGGAATAATTAAAAGTGACTTGGTACAGCCAGATAAAAATGTTTAGGCTTAACGCTTAGACAATAAAAAATATTGAGAATAAACGTTTGAATGAATGAATAAGTAACGATCACTTCGGTACTTATTCAGCCAAAAATATGTTTATATCTGGACAAAAATTTAAGAATAATTTTTGTCTAAGCTAAATCATTCCAACCATCGCCACCGGGCTCCTATTTCTACTAGCAGAATTTAGCACGATAGTGTCTATGTGTGTTTTGTCATCACATTCTGCAGTGTGATTCTGTAAGACTTCATTCTAAACTTCGAATCTGAATCCGCTGTGAGTAGTAGTAAACTAGCGCTACACTTGCGAGTTGAACTAAATTGACAGCAACATTTTGATAGATAAAGTATGAGATGACGTTAAAAGTGGCATTCTAAAATTTGATTTCCCCGTCATTTCGACGTTCACTTCGCACTCGAACACGATTCAAAATCAAACAAATTTTATAGAATCGACGTGCTGGCCTATCCGCTTAATATACCGGGTTGTCCCATCTTCTGCTGAAACAAGTTTACCTTGTACAATATTGCTTTATTCATTGCTAAATCTTGGTACTACCTCACTTAATAATACATAGGTACATGATTTCTAATTTATTGGAATGCCTGAAAATCATCATACAATAATTAAAGAACTAAAAGGTGTTTGCAGAAACTACATAGTTAAGTAGTAGATTTGATTGCTCTGTTGGTGCGGTGGCTGGACAATTGGCTGCCAATGTGTCGCGAGTTCGATTCCCGCACGGAACAGCTCTTTGTGTGATCCACAAATTGTTGTTCCGGGTCTGGGTGTGATGTGTATGTGAAATTGTATGTTTGTAAAGGCGCCGACGACACAGGAGAAAATCCTATTGTGGGGCAAACGTTTTTAAAAAGTAGTTTCATACTTATTTTTTAAGGTTTTTGTTTATTATATACTGGAATGTGGGATACGAGAACTAAGTATTTCTCACTCTAGCTTCTAAAGGTCGTGATTGTAAGTAAATAACAGGTTCGTAGAGTAAAGCGAATCG